TTAATTGGACAGCGTTTAGGTGGTCCATGTCTCGCGCGCCAGTAAGTTTGGCAGCCGCCACGACCTTGAGGTCTAGACGGATTGAGGCCTCGACAGGAAGGCCAGACGTCGCGCAGGGAACGACCCACTACAGTCTTACGTTAAGTCGAAGGCTATGGCACTTCTATAGAAGCGGTCGTATGGTTAGGACAACAGGAAGGGAAATCCAAGAGATTACGTGCTGCAGGCCAGCATTTTGTAGCAGCCTTGCCAAGCCATTCAGGTTCCAAATCAATAGGACTACTGCACTGAGTCAAGTCAACAACCACTGAGAAAATAAATACTACGCCTACTGAAATGCATTGAGTAAACATATAAGTATCTTGTAAAATTCGGGCGCTGCCAAGAGATTCTCCGCCTTTTTAACTGCGGATTTTCTCGATATTCGTAGTGCGCTCGTGTTGCAGGCATTGCACAGGTCGCCGGTTCAACAGAAACCGCCGGCAATGTATGTGGTTTTTGCGGCAAATTAAGTTTGAGCTTAAGGTGAGGGTTAGATTAGGATTATGGCCAGGGTTAAGGTGACTGGGTTCGTGCTAACCGTTGGGTTTAAGTTTAGGGGGCAAGGCCAAGGGTTAGGATTAAGGTTACAGTTTAGGGCTAGGGCTAAGACACCAGCATATTTATCATGCGTGAAATGCATCAGAAGCCAACCTATTTTACATGGACGAGGTTTTCCTATTGCCGTGTCCTGCTTAGGCGGTTTATACCTGTTAATCTAACGAAAGTGGGTCAGTGCACTAAGATGGCCCGTTCGCAGTCTTTTTAGTCCAATCGCAGGCCAGGCGTGTATTGACTCCTCTCTCAGCTGAGATATTTGGTTACATGGCAATGGGGTTCATTCATCTAGTCGTATGGACGAGATGCAGACCTTATTGGTTTTACTCTGCTGCAGCCCAGGGTCTAGAACAATTACCAGTGACTACAGTCTGGATAGTCAGTCAGAGTTCGAGAACTATTAGCGAAATAGGGATAGGAGAACAAGGTGACTATTCGTTGATGAACGTTCACCAGGCCACTAACAGAACTCATCCGTCCCGCTCTGCCTGGGGTCTTGACTGAGGCCCTGACGGTCGTAGCAGCTGGTAGTGTAAGCAGATAGTATTACCGGAAAAGACAAGGGAGACTGGAATGGCTATTTCTGGCTTATTAACCGTCGTCAGCCAGTCATATACAGACGCAAGTGGCGTCCCACACGAGCCCCGACCTCGCGACCTCTTTGATCAGAGTCAAACGCCCTAACCATTGAGCCACGAGCT